TGATTCTCATAAAGTCCCGGTTTCAAAAACACGACAAAAGTTTGGACCAAAGGTGATAACAAAGCTTGACATTTTTCAAAAATGAACACTTTCAAAACACAAAAACATTTTCGAAATCATTTTATTCGGTTTATAAAAGACGAAAGCACAATGCTTCCCAAAAATGCCCTTCTTTAGCGTCTTCGGCGATACGTCTTACCAACTCTTCCTCAATATTTTGGGGTGTCCAAACGGACGATGAATTGGACATTTGCATCAAAACCTCTATAGAATGGCTTCAACCACTCTCCATTAACCTTGAAAACTTGCCTCGTGTCGACATTTTTAATTTCCACACCTCCATTGGGACTCTTTTCTTGTATTTGACTTTCCTTTTACAGGAGACCATAGTGGACTTAAACCTTTGATAATAGCAATCATCCAACCGTATTCTTTCTTGTACTTGTTCAGTAAGGTGACAAACTCTTCCCTCTTTGATATGGTGGTCGATTTGGTGACCAGTTAGGCGTCTTCATTCTCAGGATACGTATCCTTTGAAGGGTCCGACAGATTTATCGTTTCCGGCTCTTGTGGTTGGTCTACCACTGGAGTTAATTTTTCAAAGGTAGTGGGTGTATCAACTGTTCTTTCGTTAACCCCCAACACTTCTTCTACAGTTTCATTGACAGCTTTCTCAATTTTGTCTTCCTCCTTGACAGCCTCTTCCACTTCTACTCCTTCTTCCTCTTCTTCATATAACACTCTTAGGCCATCAAAACTTTTCTCATATTTCAAAGGAATGGCACATGCGCTATGCCATGGTCTCTCTTCAGATAGTAGTTTGTCTTGAGCTTCCATTATACTTAATGATTGAGCAAGTTGTGTTATTTTTTGCTCTAAGATTTTGAGGCTAGCTTGGGTTATTTCTTGGAAAATTTGGGTAGATGTGGCAATGCTTTTCACAATGTTCTCTAAGGACATGCTTGGCATTTCAGGTTCTTGAGGAGGTGAAAGATATGGATGTTGGAACTGTGGAGTTGGTTGGTATTGGTTATTTCTCTAAGTTTGGTATGGGATTTGGTATTGGTTGTATCCCCAAGCTTGGTTGTTGTCCCACCATTGATCATGTTGAGGTTGATCATAATTCCATTGGTTTGACCAGTAGTAGCTTCTCCTCTCTTGCACTTCTTCCCATTCTCCTTGTAAATATGTACATATGTCGGAATGATGTCCCATTTGGGCACAAAAATCGCAAAGAAGAGGCGTGGGATGCACACTTTAGTCAGGGGACCTTCCCCTTGGACCCCGCTAGGGGCACTGCCCCTAGACCATGCTAGGGGAGCTACCCCTTGGAATCCCGTACCCAGAGGCGCTACCCCCGGACCCTCGTATCCTGAGTTCACATTTATCACTCCAAGTGTGCACCCCGCACCTCCAGTCTCGGTGAGTAAATAGAACTCAACTTATCTCGATAGTAATACTAACTAAACTAAAATATGTTGATAACACTAAAATCACCAACACGTGATATGAATTTCTTGCCTTTTGGCAAAGGTACAATATCCCATGTGTGTTTGATTTCCAAAGCATTAAGCTTTTTCTGCATTGTTATTTCTAAATATTAATTACCTTTGGGTTGATGATAAAAGTCTAGTTCCAACATATTTTGGACACCATTGCATGCAAATGAATGTGATGTTGAAGAATCACAAGAGGAAAGAACACTAGATGCACCAATGCACAAATTAGCGATGGTGCGACAATAAAGATGATCAGATTCAAGATTGGCGTTGTTGTAAACATAGTCTCTTAGATGAGATGGTGGATGAGAGAGACATGTAGAACTTTATGGTTGATTATATGAAGAATTAGAAGAATTGTTAGCATAATTGGATTCATTTGAAATAATAGAATGTTCATTGGAATTGGTAGGAAGGTATGAATCAGGAGTAGACAAATTATGCTTCATATTATGAAGGGGAAACACGTCCTCAAAGAATTTAAAATCACGCGTAATATGGACTTGTTTGGTAACAAGATTTAGAGCTTTATATGCCTTTTTTCCAAAAGGGTAACCAAGTAAAATACAAGGGTGAGCTTGTGACAAGAATTTGTCTCTACCAACATAACTTGTACTGTTGAAGCACAAACAACTAATTTCATTTTGTGAACTCCACAAAAAATTCTTATCTTTTTAATAAATTAAATAATATTTTAAGTCCATTTTTTGATGGGTTTTCTCTATTTTCGACAAAGTTAGAATGTGCTAATCAGATTAAACATGATAAAAATGGAGTGCATTTAAAAAAAAAATTAGTAGACGTTTGCGAGCTTTAGAAGAAAATGTGTCATGTCTTATGGTAGAAAGGGACGCTTATAACTATTTAGATCTACAATATTCTAAAAATCAATCAGTATTCAGAGAAATGGTCTACCCGCGCCGCGGAAAAAAGATGTCATGAATAACTTTTAGAAGAAAACAAACATCGCCAAAGTGTTTTTAAACATTTCAAAGCCACATCAAACATTTATGAAGCTCAAATCAACATAAAAACACCAAGTCAAAGTGAAAACCCTTAAACAAATACATAAATGTAACTTTTAATCATTTAATGGAGTACTTAGCTTCAATTTAACAACAATTAAGTTTCAAATCAACATTAAATTCATATATGAATCTTAGAATTCGAAATTCACCATTGATGGAGCTTGAAGCTTTCAAAAGTTACTACAACTCAAAAATTCAGCCATGAATGAGTAATAGGGGAGTACACTTATGATCTATAAGCTAAAACTTACTCTACATAACAATAAAAAAACTTCTAATATGATGTTTTTCGGATTTTGGTTTTTCACCCAAACCTTAGATTGTACTAGATGGAGAAGATGAAGGACAAGAGAAAGTTTGTACCTTCTAATGTCTTCCTAGTGAAGTCATATCTTATCTACTTCAAACACTCTTCAATTTCACATCCATTCACCTCAAAATCGTCATAACTCTCATACTCCCCCTCTTAAGGTTTCATGCTCAAATGGCGAAGGGGAGAGACGGCCAGTCTACTTAAGTTATGCACATTGACATCTAACACCTCTAACTTCTTATTTTCACAATTTTACCACTAATGGGTATAAATTAGTAATTCATTATAATGTCTTCCTAGTGAAGTCATATCTTATCTACTTCAAACACTCTTCAATTTCACATCCATTCACCTCAAAATCGTCATAACTCTCATACTCCCCCTCTTAAGGTTTCATGCTCAAATGGCGAAGGGGAGAGACGGCCAGTCTACTTAAGTTATGCACATTGACATCTAACACCTCTAACTTCTTATTTTCACAATTTTACCACTAATGGGTATAAATTAGTAATTCATTATATTTATATTTTAACCATTCTCTAGCAATGTTTCTTACATTTATGGTCCTCGACTAAGTTAGTTGGTTAAAGCTTGGTCATTCACTAGTTTTTTGTGCTTGATTCTATTGCCTAAGATGTCCCGCATGATACCTTATGGAGTTAGCGTAAGTGGTTCGTAGGACCAAGGAGTTAGCCACTTTGCAGGTGACAGGAAAACTAGACCCAACCAAATGAAGGGAGAAAGAGATGTCAATTTAGTCTTAGCTTTCTTATTTGACTAATATAATTTTTTATTTAATTAAACTGAAATTTAAAAATATTTTATTATTATTATTATTAGTTGATTATTTTATTTATTTATTTGTTTGTTTAGTTTATTTACTTTATAAAATTAAAACTTTGCCCATCTATATGTATATCTATACAATAATATAAAAGAAACATTTTTTTTCTTTCACTATGTGCATTTGAAACCCTCAAACTTTTTATATTTCATTCTAATTTGTATTTTATTAATTTACATGTGTTATTACTTATTAAATATCAAATATTGTCATATTAATAGTAGATTTTTTGAAATATCAATATAAATACTTAAAATATTAATTAAATATCATGTAAAATCCAAAATATAAATTAAAGTATCAAATAGAAATAAAAGTATTCAAATATTATTTTTTAAATAAGTTTAATATATATAAATGTTTTAAACATAAAACTAAATTGACATGTCGAATTATCTAAAAATAACCAAAACTATTTTTTTATAATAATCGAAATTTTTTCAAATACATGGTTTTTAAATCATACTATTCATAATAATATTAGTTAAAAATAACATAACCTTATAAATTACATTACGTTACATTACAAAAAAAATATTAAATAAGTAATTTCTAAATTAGTTAATCATAACGTTAAAAATAACATTAAATCGAGAGTTATATTTAGTTTTATTCACGACTATAACAAATTAGTGTAAGAAACTATTATTGCATGACTAGTATTAATAACATAATTACTTTCAATATGCATTCGCTAAATTTTAACGACATAATTTTATTCTGTTGCGTAGATATTGTCTAGTTTAAATATGTTACACGAGTTATTTATTTGGGTCACAAAATTCCAAGTAACTCTCTAAAAAAAATGCAAACTGAGATCATAGTATTGTTGTTCATCAACGTATTTGGATCATAGTATTGCTGTTCATCACCGTATGTAAAGATGAAGATGAATTGTTCTTCCCCTCCTATACAAATATGTTTATTTTATGGATATTGTGATGGATGCCCACCTAAGATGACGATGATTAATTTTGTTTAGATTTCAATTTGTTTTTGTTTTAAGTTTGTTACGGTTTTCTACATGGTTTAAGTCAAGTTCACGAACCCTCTATTCAATGGCGCTCATCTTCATGATAGGGATTTACATCGAAAAAACCCAAACCAAAGCCAAAAATCCACAGAAAAATCAAAGACAACAAATTTTCAGAAACAAATATTGTTGAATTGTTGGTTGATTTCGAAAAATTGATTTTTTTTTTTTTCTTTTTTGTGGTGAGGGAGTTTTTCATTAATATGATCATTAAATAGTTGAGACTATATACGAAATTAAAAATCTAAAACATATAATAAATCGAAGTTTTAAAATTGAAATTGAACCCCTAGAGTCTAGACCCATCTCTTCAAGATTGGGCCCGGTATGAGGTATCCACACCACACGTCCACACTCCACACGTATTAATCATTTTTGTAGTTTTGCAGATTTGGTCGCATTCTTTTTTCTTCCGATCACTTGTGTACTAGAATTTGAATTTCCTATCTACATCCCTCTCTATTAACTATTAAGTATTAACATTACCTTTCAGTTTTACCCGGGAGGAAGTCGGGTTTTAATCGGTTTTAACTTCAAACCCATGCTTTCCGGCTTATAAAGCTCCGGCGAGATCGAAGTCGGACTCAACGGGCTTCTAGGACTTATATTCAACTCCGTTGCCATGGGTCTGTAAAATCCATACCCCATCAAAAAATATTCCAACGCCATCAACATCGCCTCCGGTTGCTCCTCCGTCACCACCGACCCACATCTTCCGATCTCCACCAGAGCACTGAATCGTCTATCTAGCTTCGAAGCCATATGAACAGACTCCGAATGGAACGCCGAATTCTCTCCGACCAAGATCAGGCATCGACACTGCAGCCGTTTCAGCCCCTCCGTAATATCCGCTCGCCTAAACCAACATAACAAAATCAAAACTTCATTTAACGTTTCATTAACTCAAACAACAACGCCTTACGAAAAGAAATTTTAATTTTAATATTTTACCCGTTAAGAGCTTCGAGAATTCGCAAAACGTCAAGACTCTGCATCTCATCGAGCGACTGTAGTACAAAAGCGGAGTAAATTTTCTAAACCTAATTTTACACGCATTACATTAAAGTAGAAGAAATGGTAATCTTACTCTTCTACACGAATCAACCATGTCTGATTCACGAACTTCCTGTCGTAAGTTAAACGAATCATTTATTTTGTGAAATTGGCATATGATATGAAATTATGAAGATAAACGGAGAAGATTTTTTGTACCTTGCTGAAATAACGTGTCAACAATAATTCTTTTACTAGACCACACATTCCATAATAGTATAGTACGTTCGACATAACCTGAAAAAGGAAAAGAATCATTTATTTTTGTCTCAACTCATTCAACCTTGGGTTGGAATGAAAATATTACGAAACTAACCTTGTTAGACAACCATTCTGACCAAGAAGGTGCTTTGCATAGAGGAGAAATAAGTATAAGACCAGCTACACGAGGTGTATACTTTATCTGTTCCCCATAAAACATAAATAAATACTACTATTAATCTAGTTGCTAGGATTAAATTATCGTATAAATATTAAGTAGGAGTCTTACAGCAAACAGGGTGAGTACATAAGCACCAGCTGTTACCCCCAAGCACATAACTGCACCAAGTCTGGAGGCCGGAACAACAATTAATTCAGACGTCTATTCAACTTTTTCAAACTCAACAGTCTAGTCATGAGTTTATTAAGAGGGAATAGATAAAAATAGAAGAATTACCCAAAGTAATCAAGAACCTCAGCCACCTGGTCTGCCAAATCATCAGCAGATAATGCCAGATCATCATCATCATATGACATGGCAGAAGCAGCTCCCAACTGCAAAAGCAAAAACTTTGTTTATATCAAATTGTAAGTTGAAGTTATAAAACAATAAATGGTGAAGTTAGGGATTACTGACCTCATGGCCATGGCCAGGAGGACTGATGTGGTAAATGCAGAAATTATGAAGCAGTAAAGAAAATGCTTCTGGGCATAGGAACAGTCCTTGGAAACAGGACATATCTGCACACAATTATAAACATAACGCATACTCTTATTAATTAAATGCTAAAATTCTTTAAAAAAAACATTTTTATTGATTTAAGTACTTCACTTACAATTTAAAGCTAAATCAGGATATGTAATCAGAGCTGGCTTATCAGGGTCCCCCAAGATGGCAACAGAAATAAATCCAGTGGCAGTTTCGACAATGTGCTCCTGGTGTGGTGGATGCATTAATTAAGGAAACTATTAATTTACATAAAGACAACTAACTATTTTGGTCAAAAAGGAAAGATTTTACCACTCAACTTTTTAAGGTGCAACACTTTATAAGGATCATCCTACTTTTATACTAAGTAATTGATTCCATGAGTGTAGATTTAACTTTTAAGCACACTCACACAAGGGTAACAATTACTATTTAATAGACAAAAGCTCTCATAAAGATGAATGGGAATATGAGAGTAGACAATGATGTTTTTTTTCAAGAAATTGATATAAAGAATGATCATTTGATCTACAATTTTCTGACACATTCCCATTTAGTTGCTTCATGTCAATGTTTACAAGAATGTTTCTTTGATTCCTTACAGTATTCAAAACCAGTTTCTTTATAAGAGAATCCTCCCTTCAATATGTTTTATTTCCAAAAAATCTACACTGTGATTTGGTTCATATTTAACAAGTTTACAGATAAAGTAAGAAGCTGTTTAGATCTTGCTTGATTAGACAATACCTACCATACCAATTACCAAACACTTAAAAGTTACTGAACCTTTTCTAATAAAATAACCAAAAAGAGCGCAAATGTTTGAAGTGAAATTAAAGCTTCTGATAGTACCTCCCTCCCAATAAAAAATTATATCACCCCCACAAAAAGGGATAAAGAATCCAAAATACTTCTGTACAGTTGGTCGTCAATTACAAAAAAAGGGAAGGGGAATCATCGTGTAAATAAACAGATGTTAAGAACAGAAAGTAATTAACAAGAAGGAAACACAATTAATTAAGTTTTAAGTTTTAACGCCTCTCCATAATTCTAATTACATTGTATAAAGAGGAGACAGCTATATCAAATATTAATTACAAGTAAAACTTAAGCCTCATGCCAGTAGAGCTGTAAAGAAAAAAATAAGACAACACAAAGGCAACAAACTCTTTTCTTTTTATAGTTTGGTGATATTGACACATAAATTAGAATATCACGGGTTAATTATAAGATGCATTTATTTTATTAACTCATTATCTGTACTATAAGATCAGTTATTTTGCTACTCTTGTGGATATAGTCATATATATAGACTTGTATACACACATATACGCACCCTGTATGATAAATATTTGTAGAATTCATGCATCCGGCACTCGTTTCACACCTATATCTTACTTCTTAATTCAAAAGATTTGAGCTCATTGTTCCATCATGTTTTAAACCTAAATTATCCACTCATCTCCAGTTCCTTTCAAGTAGCTATTCGACATGAATCATATTTGCAACAATTCTGTATCACTTTGGAAAAACTCGTCCTATACAAATAACGGATCATAAGTCATAACTAATTGATTTCAAGATCAAATCCCAACAGATTGAACAGATGCCTTGAAATGTAGTATCCAATTTTTGCAATCAATCAATGAAAACCATGGCTGAAGATCATTCAATAATAATTGCTGGATAAGTAAACAAATAAAAACCTTAACAATTAAACTACCATAAAATCAGAATACACATACATAAATGTGGCAATTCCTCGATATATACATGTAAACGGTGAAATGTATCTTCTAACCTTTCCACCAGGAGAGCTTGTGTCCATGTCAATGGCGACAGAATCGCTTGAATCCGCCATTATTGGCATCGATTTGTTTATATACGAATCTACGTTTTTGGCTCTCTATATCTGAGTAGCGAAGTGTGTGATTTTCTCTCTCTCTATCTATATATAGGGAGCGAGCCTCGTTATGTGTATGTATGCGTATCATACCCAAATGGCAATTTTGGCCCATATAGTTTGTATATATTTTCATTATGCCCACAATTGTATTCTTTCCATCAATATATGTTGTTCCAAAATTTTCAAAGTACATGTGAAGTTCATCCTTGAAGAGAGAGATAGAGAGAGGGGATGCAAAAATTAATCGGTATATGAAAGAATTACTCTACCGATAATATCAAATGGCTTGATTATAAAAAAATATGTAGGTTCTAATTTAGTTTTCATAACTTAATTTTATAGGGATCAGAACTCATACAATTTTAAAAACAAACACTTTAAATTGATTATCACTATGAAATTTGCTAAAAACTCGAAAAAAATGTTAAGAATAATGGGCCAACTTATTTAAATTATAATGTGAAGTGTAGAACAAAATGGTAAACCGCACCATTCGAGCGCACATCAACCCGCTTCAAGGTCCAAATGGGAGAAAAATCACAGAACATTAGCAGTATTTTGGTATGACATGGTTTGAACCCTAGACCTTCTATGTATAATGTATATGAGGTTCTGGTGAAAGTCGAATAGTCAAACAAATTGAGTTGGCTCGACTCGAGTTTGCCAAACACAGTAGATTTAAACTTAGCTTGGGTGGTTATTAATGAACTAATTTTTACACACCAAGCTTTTCTACAAGTCACCTCATGAGTACTCACAAAATCAATTTGTTATTGTTTAACTAGTTTTTTTAAATCTTAAATATAAATATTGAACTTGTTAAACTTTATGTTTGTTGCATGAACATAGAGAATATTTTAGAGGGGAATAATGTTAAAATAGTTGAACGCTACAAGAATATCAAGTTAATCATTGTACTTACCATATTGTTGCATCCGGAATTTTAAAACATAAAATATGTACTCATTTGATAATGAAGAGTCTTAACATGAAAAAGGGGGTGATGAAACTTCATGAAGGGTCACGTCATTTCTTCTTTAGGTCATTATGTTCATGTGTTCTTATTATCGGACAATCATGTGTCAGTAGTCTTTCGTCAATCTCAAATGAAAGGAATTTAACATAATACCACATGTATTTGAAGATTTTCCCCGTGTTCTTGTTTTTATTCTTTCGCTACAAATTAGTTATATAATGTTAATATAAATAGATTAATATTATAAAAAAATGAAATGCTTGATATGAAATAATAGTATAAGTAAAAGATTGTTTAAAATTTTTACTCGATTATCTAACTGTATAATATGAAATCAGAGTGATCATTTTATCGATTTTGCCAAAAAAAAAAAACGAGATAATGGCAAAAAAATAGATTTAAACTATAGTGAGCAAAATGAAAAAGGAAAACAATGAGGTTAGAAAGTGTAAATAACCTCAAGAGCCCATTGTGCGACCGACGCTCTTGTATTTATGTACAGATCACGAGTGGGGACTGGCCCACACCTCCTCTCTCTATCTTCTAATTTAATAATTAACCAAATAGCATGGTTAATAATCTAACCAGAGTTAGATACCGACAATTTTTTTTCATTTCTTTTTCCCCAATTTACTCTTAATAGCTCCAATTTCAGATATTTGATCATTTTATTATTTTATATAAAATATATTTTTATGAGTTTATTGGTTTTTATCATTATATATACAATCGATAAGGATCTAGTTGCCTTAAAAATATTTATTTGTCGGTAATTGGGTTACTTTACAGTCATAAATTTTAATATATATCCTTAAACGTTGAATTTAAAAACATATTTCGTAAAATAAAATTTATTAAAAGAGAATGATTTCTTTATTAATACAATATGATTCTTCTTCACAATAGTATCGACATCTGATTTCCTACTTTATATACATGTATGCAATTGCAAACTAGACAATGCACAATGATTCTCTCAACAATAACGTTTAACTTAATCACCGAAAAGCACTTTCAAGATGAAAAAAGTTCACCCTATATTAGATATTTAAGTAATTTGATTTAATTAATTGAAAAAAAAAAAAAAAAAAAACGTACCAATTTTTTTTGCTTCATTAATGTTATCCAAGCATGGTTGAATAATAACATCATTGCTCTTAACTTCTTTGGTGTAGTCACAAGAACAGCCATTCTACCATCAAAATTTCAATATCATATAATATGAACGCTCCAATTCAATTGGGTTGCTTTTTTTCATCACTCACAAAGTCAGGAACTACTAACTGAACCTATTAATTTTACTTGAACTAAAAATTCTGAATTAATAAACATTTTTAGCAGCACATTGTACAACTACCAATGCAGTGGTCACCTCACCTGACCATATCCACCATCTCCTGATCGGAAACCGCGTTTCCGACTTCATTTTTACCACGGAATCCGCCATCGCCCTGATTCTCATGACAACACTTTATGACCTTAATCTGCTTTTGTACCTCACACTCGAACCCCATGGTATCACGTTTTCTTCTCCCATTGATCTGTATGGGTGCATCCTCAATCATACTATCTCCATCTTTGACTCCATTGTTGATTCCCATTGACTTTTTGTCCTTTAAAGTTTTCTCATGTAACCCCGAGATGCTGTAATCGCATATTTTAAGCCCTTGCTTTTCCAATACCAGCAGCCAACCTGCATTTGTGAATCAGACTGCCATTGAGACTAATGTCAATGAGACAAAATTACAGGACATGACATGACAAGACAAACGACTTTTTAGTTTTTTGTTTTTAGTTTGGCGTGCATTGGAATGGATTTGAAACCAATGTCAATGGGACAAAATTGCAAATTTTCTCGCTCTTAATCTCTCATTTGTACAAAAGACGTGAATGCCCTCGTCTTTATGTGGGAATGCAAGTTATAAAAAGTAATATACCAATAAGGTCCTTGGGGGAGGAAATATCAGGTGTGGTTGGTTTCATATTTGTCCCACTAGTGACCCATGAAATTATCTGTCGTGGGAGCTGAGATGCTGAAAAGCCATTCATATAACAACCGACTCCAGCATGGTCACCATTTTCACTGCAACCAAAAAACACACAAAAAAAAAAAAGGTACATCTTCCAAATATATCTATATGCGATGATGGAACAACATGATCACTGTTTTTGCTGTTCTACAAATACAACAACTATGGCTCACCTTATAAACTGCAATGCAGAGTTTGTGAGAAACAACCAAAGGATGGCTATGTCTTTGTACTGAACATCTGAGAGCCATGAGGAAGTATCATAATTGAGAAAAGACCCTAAATCCAATGCAACATCAAAAAGCAGTTTCTTGAGGAGGAGTTCATCTGTTGAAGACTGTAAGAACATGTCAGGATACTTATCTTTTAGAGTATAGTATCAGTATGACTGTATAAGTTGATGGTATAAAAAAAACTAACCAATAGCTCGGCTACAGGCAAACTTGGTTCCAATAGCAGTTTGAAAAGCATAACTGATAGCAGATAGAAAAGATGAAAAAAACTGTTACCATGGGAATGATTTGTAAAACTTTGGAACCCATTAATCATATTGAACTTAATTTGAAGAAATTAATAAATAACAAGGTAACAGTTGTTTGCAAGTTTGTGCATATGTTCTCATAAATCTTGTAAAGGATCATGTAAAATCTCACCTAAAAAGGTTGGATTCTTCTTGAACCCCTTGATAATCTGAGCAGCGTAACTTTTGACATCCTTGTGCAATTCCTTCCGGGAATCTTCTGAACCAAACATTAGACACAACCTCAACAGAAAGGACTCGATCATAACAACCCCAGCAAGGTAAGCCATTCCACTATCCTCATTAATTCCCTGACGAATATCTTCAGTTGAAAGAGGGAAAAACAACTGCAAACCATCTACGCGACCTTGATTCTCATTAACCTGATCAGCGATCCAGATTGGCACTAGACTAACCCAACTCACACTTGATTTATAAACCCTAACCTCTTGTTCTACCAAATCATTATTGCAACACAAAATTATGTGACTAACTACTGCATCCACTAAACCCTCGATCTCGGCCTTAAAGCTAGAAATCAGAAATTTTAAGTTAACTAATTGGTATAGAACTGGGGCGAGAAGAGACACTTGCGTCAAGTAACAGCTATCAGAGGGAGTAGGAAAGGAAACAAGGGAGTGAAACAAGTCCTTAAGAGACAGCAAAAAATTATGTGGATCTCTTAAATTGGATGATTTAGCGGTTTGAAATGTGAGTGCAGAGTAAAACCAGATGAATTCAAGCGGTGGGTCTGTCATCGTCTGGGTCAAACGGAAGAAAATGGAACCGAGTTCTGAAAAATCGGTTCTACCTTTCTGAAACTCAACTAGAAAGTGGTAGATTGATTCGTTTAACATTGGTTCTAAATTTTCAAGCAATGGTGAATTGAGGGTTTGCAACTTCATGCTATAAATAGAAGGATCAGTCAGCGACGAAGTAAAATCTGTAAGAACTGGACTTTAAGTATGTAACTACAACTAAATTGTGAAAATTGCAGAAGTTTGAGCTCGATAGTTATGGCAAAACGAAGTTGCTAAAACCCTAATATGGCAAGAACCAGGAACGAGGGAAGTTTTGGGGCTTTTCCCCAACGGACGGAATTTGAATTGTTTACAAAGTTCTTTGTTGCATTAATTCCTAGAGTAAGACGGTGTTTTGGATTGGACTATTTGATTCGGATATTCGGATTTTTGGATTGGACTATTTGATTCGGATATTCGGATTTTTGGATTAGGGCCGTTTACTATTTGGATAAAACCGAACAATTTGGATTGGACTATTTGATTCGGATTTTTGGATTGGTTTTAACAAAAACGAATTATTATTTTGCATTTCGGATTGGTTTTGGTTTAAAAAATAAGAACTGAATAGTCCAAAAAAACCGAATAAACATTTATTATTTATTTATTTATAATATATATCTATAGTTATTTATTAATTTTGTAATTTATTTTTTCAAATAGGTTCAAATCGTTTCACCCGATAAAAAAACATTAATATGCATTTTCTCTCAAAAGTTTTCTATCTATAAAATATTTAACTATAATATATATTCTTAGTAATTGTTTATAAATTTCAAATCACAACTAAATTTGTTTTCGCTTCTTGTGTAAAATTGGGTAATATTATAATTATATGTTGTTTTCAAATGTTTCGGTTTTTGAAAACCGAATTATAAAAACCGATCCAACCGAATTTTAATTGTATTGGATCGAATCAGATTTGAATTTAGTTTGGACTATTCGGATTCATGTTTTGAAAACCGAAATCAATTTGGATTCTCTTGATTGGATCGGATCAAACCGATCCTTCCAAACGAACACCCCTATTTGGGATTGCTTTTAAAACAACTTTTGGCTTTTAACTTTTTCAAAAAGTTAAAAAAGATTCAAAAGATGTTTGGGTATTAAAAAAGATCTTTTAAAATGACTTTTTATATAGAAGGAAAAGATAATGTTTCACAAGTCACAAAATTCTATCTTTTTGTGACTTTTTGGACTTTTTAACCTGAAAAGTTAACTTTTACCTTAAAAGCAAATACAAATATTTTTTAAAGATTTTGTTTTGGAAAAAGTCACTAACCAAAAAGTCGTTTTACAAAAAGGACTTTTAACCTTAAAAAGTTTTCCCAAACACCCCTTAAATATTGCAAAAATGGTCCGGTGGTCAAAAATATATTTGGTCTAAAAAAAATTTGGTGGTGAATAAATGGTCTAATTTAAGATATTTTCAGTGAATTTGGTATTAAAATGACTTTTATGCCCTTATGAATTTTATTTTCTATTTTATTTAATTTTTATAATACATAAATTATTTTTTTAAAAAAAAAGTCAGGCCCACCCACCATATTTATCATTGTCCTCGCTCTCCTACCTAAACCACTGTCATCGAGAACCACCCACTCCTAAACTAATCGGAAAACCACCACCTCTGTCACCGGAGCAGCACCACATCCCCACCGGAAAACATACTCTTCAAAACCATTTATACCCATAAATGCATTCAAACCAATAATAAAATCGAAACCTCCAAACCAAAATTCATTCTAGAAATCCAAGAAAATAAAGTGTGTTTATGTTTGTGGGTGTGGAAGTGACGGAAAGAGTCTGGTAAGGACAAACGACTGCGGATCGATGGCGGTGATGGAGTCGACGTTTGATGATGAAGATCGATGGCAGTGAAGATCGACAGAGTTAGAGCGCATATTGATGACGTCTGAAGGTTTTCGACGAAGTCTTAAAACGATCGAAGATGCAGCTCGTCCGTGTTAATGGTCGATATTGTAGATATGCATCTTTAGAGTGCTCGACGACGATGCAGAAGGGAAGCGACACTAAGGGATCTACAAGCGATGACGGCTTGTCGGGGAAGGAGGCAGCCGAAGGTGGTTTTGGCGGGAGGTTCAGACGGACACTTGGGTGGTGGTTCGTCCGACAGTGGCAGGCGGTGTTGGTGGAGACGAAGGGGGAAGGATGCGACGTCGTTTTACCTCCACCGAAACCAATGGATCTACACTTTAGTATCAGATCACTACCATCATCGACCTCTTTATGCCTTGATATGAAACCACCGGGCCTCTTCTTGCCGTCAGAGTTAGGGTAACAAAGTCATTGTATGTGTTTCTTGGTATGGATTGCCGGTGGTAACCTTGGATTACCAGAGAGAGAAAGATGTGGGTTTTTTTGGACTTTCCAAGTCAGATCCGATAGATGGTGGTGGTGGTCTGATGACTGTAACATCCCATTTTCAGAACCATTTTTTTTAAATCTTTATTAGGGTAAAACTTCCCATTTATTAATCCATTAATTAGTTTAAACTGTTATTCCGAATTACATTTATTAAAAACCAGAGTATTGTAGAAACGCGAAATATTCAATGTTGCTGATAAGTGTGTACAGTCTCGCCTTCGCCTTCCAACAATAACCGATGATACCTGAGACCATAAACAACTGGGTAAACATAAAGCTTAGTTAGTTTCCCCCAAAATACCACCATATAAACATATCACATATACAATCAAACATGTCGGGCCCAGTCAAACATCGGGTTGGAATACCCCAGGCCCAGTCAACCTTCGGGTCCAGTCATCCTCGGGATGGAATACCCCAGGTTGAAATGCCAATATACAACAGGTCCATTCAGCCATCGGGTTGGAATACCCAGGGTTTGTTGGCATACTGCCTCAACCCTACCTGAAAGACCCAAACTTTCATAAAAAGTACATCATAATACTCCAAAACATGCTACATGCATATTCATAAAATAATATTTTACATTGATAATTTAATTACATAGACTGGATACAAACCGACTATTAAGATTTTTACAAAATTATATATATATATATATATATATATATATATATATATATATACATAACTTCCCAGGAAATTAAACACTAAATACAAAAGATATAATATTATCTATTCTACATCTTCTACCAGTACATGACTATACTGGATGCTTATCACCTGCAATAGTTTAAACATTGAGAGGGATAAGCGGGTGACGCTTAGTGAGTTCAATAACAGTTACAATATAACGTTATGCCATATACATATCAATATGACAAAAGCAAAGAGGGACAAAGAACAACAAAGGCATATGTGTATCATGTAACAGACTTTCCATATCAACCAACAATCAATTTCAACTTGATATACATCAATAAAGGTTCAGCCCAAATGGCACAGAAAATACAATTTCGGATTATCATTTTGCTAGAATATACAGGCTTTCAGCCCTACATAGCCCTATGCTAATACCAGAAGTTATACGAGTCATGCTCTACATGGCCAAAGGCACAAAGCCAATACCAGAAAATTATACGAGTCATGCTCTACATGGCCAAAGGCATAAATCCGATATAACATAGGAAAGTACATTGAATATATAACACATAACATACAATTGTCCCTATATTGAACTCACCGTGAAATAACCAGAGGAATAAATGATAATTTGGGCAGCACTTCGCCTCTAAAAATGACTTTCCGTGGCGAAACCGGGGATTTTAGTTGAAAACCGGGCCTTACTGGGGCAGAGTTTCGACTTGAAAATATGATTTTCTCTGGAACTTCGGACCGTCAGGACTTGCTTCGGTTGTCGGGGATGATACCGGGACTTTGGGGGGTTAAAAGTGGTCTAAAGAAGGATTTTAGAGTGAGAGAAAGTAGGGTTTGTAAACAAAAACCCGGAGGTCTTCGGTTTCTATTTATAGTAGGGTTTTAGCGCGTTCCTCGGAGGAACGCAGCACGTTACGGTGGGTGCGTGGCTTCAGACGTGTCAAGATGCGAGATACGTGTCCACTTCATACGAACGCGGGGCGTTCCTCCGAACGCAGCGCGTTCCCTTCGGATAAGCTTCGAAGTTTGTGCCCAGAACTTCAAAAATTCATATAGTTTGCATACGAGCTCCGTTTTTTACGTTCTTTATATCCACGCGTAGGTGAGATTATACTCTACAACTTTCATTTAGACTCGGTCGGCTAATTTTGATTTCATTTTTAATATTATATTTTTAACGGTCCGGGAGAGGAAAATCCGTTAAAAATTCATAACTTCTTCATCTAACGTCCGTTTTCGTCTGTATTTTTACCGTTGTACTACTATTAACGAGACCTTCAATTCTCATTTAGGTTGTTTCGGCTAAAAATCACTCGATCTTTATTTCGAGTTTTTAGCTGTCTACTGCTATACCGAATCTTAGAAAAACCATAACTTCCTCATACGAAGTCAGATTTTGACGTTCTTTTTATGAAAGTTCTCGGTTTAACGAATACTACGACTTTCATTTAGATCATAAAGGCTAAAAAGTAGTTTATCAAAAACTCACTTTTTACGTCATATGGCGTCGTGCCGGTTCTGTCGCGGATCTTCGATTGGTCATAACTTTTTCGTTATAACTCGGATTTCGATGAAGTTTTCGCCTAAATGTTTCTAACGAAATTATCTACAACTTTCAATAATAAAATTTTGCTTATTTAAAATTTTATATTTTCGTTAAATTTCAATATTTGACATTAGATTGGAATCTCATAAGACTTCCAATATTTTCCGAGTGATTCTAAACATAGTTTTACTTCATTTCTAGTAAAAACTATCTGTTAGAACTCAACGCTTAAAAATCACATAATATTTCATAATATTATTCATTTTTTAAAGTTACAAAACATGATAACTGAATGTGTATGTTACACTACCGCTCTTCCCGAGCCTTCATGCCTACGACTTACAGACGACCCGCACCGGGTGTCTTGGCCTACCGCACAAAACAGGACCGCCTCAACCCAAACCAAACACAATATGTCGACATATAAACAATCAAGATCAAGTAGGCACATAATACAGGCAAACAACAATCATACAGCTCACTACTGCCTACTAATCCTCTCACAGCATACAGTCCCGCTGCCAGCTAACCCCCATAGAATGCGTAACCATAAGTAACCAAAGGTGAAATAGCCACCCGAAAAGATGATCCTACTCTCAAGCCACATACAAACAAGGAAAAGGCAAGAAAGCCTAGACCAAGAGTTCTCAGACTATCCTACATAACCACAGACAGTCCCTAAGGGCACTCCATAGATGATAACCAACAAGCACATATAACAGACAGTTCTACAATTCATTACAGCATAGCAGCATACTCAATACCAGAACACAGATCTAACAGACCACTACAGCATAACAGCATATTCAGTGTCACACCCCCAAACCAGAATGGCGGAAACATTCGGGGGTGGGTGACTTCATGTAGTATCATAATAGTTGAATATTTGTAAAGAAAGTAAACACAACCATCATAAATATAATTTAAAAAGTTGCATTGTTGCATGTGATACATGTCTCAAAATAAATTACAATATGATGATTTAACAAGTTTGAAAACTGACGCCTTAGCGTCCCTTCTCCAAAAGCTGATGTTTTACCTGTATTACTGAATCCCTGAGAAATACAAGTAGTTTTGAAAAAATGTCAACAATTAAGTTGGTGAGTTCATAAGCGTTTTTGTACTAGAATTGTATGTCTTTCTGTATAAAATAACTGAGCTTGTTTCTAGAAAATCCAATATTTTCCATGTATGTGTCGTAGTTTGAAAAGTTCCAAAGACTGAAATGCATAAGTATTTTTCATACCTAAAATAGTGTAAATAGGTTTATATATATGTATATATATAATCACTAATGCATTTGATAGCCCCGTAAATCAAAATGTTTTGATACCCCATGTGAGTTTTATAACCATGCTATTGACCCAGACTGCCTGTAACAACGTTCTTCAGGCGTTGAAGTGTTATGACGTTTGTCACCCCAGATCTGCCGGTCTAACTGTAGCTAACAGTTTAGGTGCGGGATTGTCAATCCCATATAGATCTATACATAAGTATCACGCTCTCCCTATAAAAGATTATGGTTTATAATACAAGACTTGAAATGCGTACTTGAAAGTACGGTGAAGCCAAATGTCTCACAAAATTTAGTATCAATAGATTTACGAAATGAAAAGTCCATTTTCCTTGTAAATGTAAGTATTTCCTCTTTATAGTGTTTATAGTATGTAAAATGTCATGAATAACTTGTAAACTATACCTATTATAGTTTTTCGAAAATGCGTTCCATTAAAATGATAAAACTTGGTGTATTACTAACTTCGCATGTAAAGTGTGACATTAGTAGTAATATTTTTTAACATTTATAACAAAAATGTGGACGAAGCATTTGAACCCTATGTAACGATTTGTATTTTCGCATAAGTTTTTCTTGTGTTTCACTTGTATTCCCCCCCCCCCCCCCCCCCCCTAAAGTATAGTAAAAACGTGAAAATAAAGGGAGTATGAACTCACCTGGAAAGTGTGGTGATTTGAAGAAAACGAGATTTTGCTCGGGCGGCACTTCGACAGGAAAGAAGTCGATTTCTCAGAAATCTCGGAGCTTCGGACCTTTTTCGGAGCTTGGATATGAAACCGGGGTGTCGGGGTAGTCTCGAGATAGTAGAAGTATGGGACTCGTGAGAGAAAATGGTGAATGAGAAATTAAATCCCGGAAGTCTCGCATGCTATTTATAGGAGGGCTGCCAGGCCTCGTACGCTGGGCGTACACCGAAGTACGCGAGGCGTACGTCAGCGATGACGACATCATCGGTCGCCGGTCTTCGGATGGGACGGGAGTAGAGTAGCATAGGGGAGACGTGGCCGATCCGAAGCCTTGCATTTGCGTACGCTGGGCGTACCCTCGTACGCGGGGCGTAATCCTTCGGATAAGCCTCGAAGTGTGTGCCTAAATCTTTGAAAATCCGTAACTTTCGCATATAAGCTCCGTTTTTGACGTTCTTCATATCCACGCGTAGGTGAGAATATAATCTACAACTCTCGTTTAGACTTTGTCAGCAAATTTTGAATTTATTTTTAATTATATAATTTTAATAGGTCGGGACAGGAAAAATCTATTAAAAATTCATAACTTCTTCATCCGATGTCCGTTTTCGTCTGTCTTTTTACCGTTGTACTACTATTGCCGAGACCTTCAATTCTCGTTTAGGTTGTGTCGGTTTAAAATCGTTCGATCTTTATTTCGAGTTTTTAGCTGTCTACTATCGTTCTGAAACTTAGAAAAATCATAACTTTCTCATACGAAGCCATATTTGGACGTTCTTTTTATGTACGCTCATGGTTTGTTATTATCTACGACTTTCGTTTAGATACTTAAGTCTAAAAAGTATTTTATTGAAATTTCACTTTTTACGCTTAACAGTGTTTTACCAGTTTTGTCGCGGATCTTTGATTGGTCATAACTTCTTCGTTATAACTCGGATTTGAGTGCTCTTTATATTTCTGAAAACCTTGACATGATATCTAACATTTTATGTATCCCAATTGAGACTTTTGAACATTTCATTTTTGACGCTATTTTTATTGATTCCAAAAATAAATTATAATATTTGACTTTTTGAACATTACATTGACTTGGAATATCGGGTTGTCACATTCAGTGCCAGAATACAGATCTTACAGATCACTACAGCATAGCAACATACTAAATATCAACAATCCAAGAAATGCATGGCCATATATATTCAGAAATGAGATAGTCACCCGGACAAGTGATCATACTCTAGAACCACAACCAAACAAGGAACAGGTAAGAGAACTTAGATCAAGAGTCCTTAGTCTATCCTACATGACTATATACAGTCCCTAGGGAATCCCTCTACTAGCAGATAACCAAAGCTAGTGGGACGGCATTGGTGCCTTCGACCCACGGGTATAGTGAGGCAAAACTCGCATCGATGTACGCGTAGATAACCACTGTAGCAATGAAGGACTCTACCAGATTTAATTCACTTCCAATCACCTACACGAAGATACTCGAGTTAATACCCGATCACAGGTCATAGTCACTTTCAATAGTGACCATCTCACATGAAATAACGATTAGGGTTTCACATAAAATGATGATTAGGGTTAATTAAGAACACTTAACCCATTAAGGACATAATCACTTAAGGTTAAATCAAATGTTTTTACTTTTTGGTTTAATCTTCTTCCTTTAACCAATTTGTTTCTTTTTTCAAGAATGAAGGACCAAAATGCAAGTTCTGGGAATGGGTGGAGCCTAAAGCCCTTGAAAATGAAGTCAGTTATGGGAAGGACCAAAAAGAATTGTGCAATTTAACCCTTAAAGTTTCTACATTGGAAAACGAGATCAACATATGCAAGATGAAAATGGGACAAGAAAATTTGGTTGTTAGATATGAGTTTGAAAAATTCAAATGGAAGCTATTTACTCATAAAGTTCTGATGACCGTGTTGTTTCTGTTGTTTGTGTTTAAAAAGTAGTTAGTGAAGCTGTATTCAAAGACTAAATTTTGTTAGACAGGAAAATTTGGCTTAATGTTGTATTTTTTTTGATGCATTAAGACTAAATCTTGTTGATTAATGATAGTTTTATGTTTTGACTAGTTTCAAAGAAATATTAATGTGTTATATAGGTTAGTGAATTGAACATGATCCAAGGGTAAAATGGTCCAGATTAAGCATAACAACAATCAATTGTTAATGTCTTAATTACGTTAGTGAAATAAATATGATCCATGGGTAAAATGGTCCAGATTAACCACAATAACAACATCAAACATTTATTAATGTGCTTTGACTTATTTGAAACAATCCATGGGTAAATAACCAAACACCAAAGCATATAATATAGATAAAAGACAAACTTGTAAGATTCCATCAGTATGTGCACCATTACAAAAGTTGTGCCCATATTTGTCCTAATATGTCAAAAGATGTGCTATGACTAAAAGTCTTCCTAATTACATAATTAAAAGACTAAAAGTTTGTCTTCCCAAAAATATTAAAACATGAAATCATTCCAACACCATTGGGTGGTGATCAATGCTTCCTTCTTTCTTCAAAACCTTCATCCTCAACCCTATCTCGGTAATTCTTTCTGAGTATTTTCGAATCCTCTTCCCAGTTGCAACAGGTTGAGCAGGAACATCATTAATAAGTTGAGCATGATCATCCACTTGAATTGGATCCACTTGAACATCATTAACAGGTTGAACAGGATCATCCACTTGAACATCATTAACAGGTTGATCAAGATCGTCCACTTGAACTGGATCCATTTGAACATCATTAACAGGTGGAGCAGGATCATCCACTTGAACTGGTTCCACAATACCTGCTATACAAAGGTGTAGTTAATGAGTTGGATGTTGTAGTGTAATTAAATTGTTTTAATAGCATACCTTTATCTTTTTTACATTTTTAGCTTTCTTGTTTTTTGGCCTTGAAGTGGATGCTACATCTTCTGGTCTTGTAGGACATGTTGATCTATTGTGGCCCCTTTCTCTACAAATGGTGCATCTCATAACTGTACATGCTTTTGAGATAGTATGCCTTGTTTTTCCCTTACTTTCCCTCTCAGATTGATCCCTTTTCCTTTTAAGGGTTGGCCTTCCTGGTAACCTTCTTTTTTGGGGAGGCAATGGCTTCATGTAGGGAACTTCATGCCACATGGAACTACCATTAAGTGGATTAATGGTATGGTTGTAACAAGTTAAGAATATAGATGTAGTAAACCATGGTGCAACATAATCCTCTACATCCCTGTTGAGGTATGAAATGGTTGCCACTGCATGCACACATGGGATACCTGATACTTGAAAAGATCTACATCCACATGTTCTGTTGGTAAGGTCCACAACACATCCATCATTTCCAAGCCTAACCTCATATTTTTGTATACCAGAAGGTACAACTCCCCAAAATATGTCCACAAAAATAACAAGTTCTATTAATTTCACATTTGTTAATAATACTTATAAAATAGAAGTTATTGCATACCTTTGATTTCTATTTAAATTTGATATCTTTAATCTTATAGATGGGCATATTTTTAAATTACCCCAACTCTGTCCCTCTAGCAACATTTTATACATCCTCTCCATTGCATAAATTCGAATCTCTTCCAACATGGCGAGGAGTGGTCTCTTCCTAGCAAGATCAATAACATAGTTGAAACTTTCTGATATGACATTCTCATAAGCATCACAAGCCCTGCCCACTTCAAAGAATGCCTTGCACCAACTTTTTGGGTCCCTTTCAATGAGGTGTTCATACGCCAAAGGGTCAATTTTATTATTTCATTCATTTCTGCCTCAAATTTAGGCTCAGTTGTAACACTGATAAAAATCATAAATGTGCACACATTCAAAACACGACTGGTTGCAAAGGGCTTTACTCAAACCCCAGGGGTTGACTATGATGAGAACTTCTCACCAGTGGCTAAGATAAAATCTATTAGGATAATGCTAGCCATATCTGCCTTTCATGACTATGAAATTTGGCAGATGGATGTCAAAACCGCTTTCAATAATGGGAAGTTGGTTGAGGATGTTTACATGAATTAACCAGAGGGTTTTGTTGATGCAAAGTTTCCCAATAGAGTGTGCAAGCTTGAGAAATCCATCTATGGGTTAAAACAAGCTTCTCGCAGATGGAATCTTTGTTTTGATGAGAAGGTCAAAGAGTTTGGCTTCTCTAAAAGTGAAGATGAGTCATGTGTATATGTCAAAGCTAGTGGGAATATAGTAACCTTCCTAGTGTTGTATGTTGATGACATACTTCTTATAGGAAACGACATTCCAACTTTGTAAGAAGTTAAGTCTTGGCTTGGAAAGTATTTCGCTATGAAGGGTCTAGGAGAGGCTGCTTATATTCTGGGGATAAGAATTCTAAGAGATAGAAGTAAAAGACTAACTGAACTTAGTCAGAATACGTACTTGGAAAAGGTGCTAAAACATTTTAGTATGGAAAATTCTAGGAAAGGAGAACTGCCCATCCAGAGTAATACCAAACTGAGTAAGACTCAGAGTCCGAGTACCGATGTAGAGAAAGCAGAAATGAGCAGAGTTCCATATGCTTCCATCGTTGGATCTATCATGTATGCTATGACATGTACTCGCCGTGATGTGTCCTTTGCTTTGAGCATGGTCAACTGTAATCAGGGAAATCCAGGTAAAGCTCATTGGAGAGCAGTTAAGAATATTCTCAAGTATCTGCGAAGGAATGAGGACTGGGTCCTAGTACTTGGTGGCAGAGATACATTGGACGCCAACTTTCAAACAGTCAGAGACAAATTTCATTCTCAATCTGGCTGGATGTTTAAGTTAAAGGGAGGAGCAGTTACATGGAAAAGTTCCAAGGAAGAGAAAGTGGTTGATTCTACTTGTGAGTCAGAGTACATAGCGGCGAGCGAAGCATAAAAGGAGGAAATTTGGTTGAAGAACTTCATCGAAGATCTTGGACTTGTGTCAACCATCAAGGAGCCAATGGAAATTTTCTGTGATAATGAAGGAGCGTTTGCCTTGACAAAGGAACCAAGAGATCATGGCAGATCAAGACATATCGACAGAAAATACCATTTCATCAGACATAGATTAGAAGAAGGTCACCTCGTAGTGAAGTGGGTATCATCTGAAGAGAATCTTACAGACCCACTCACAAAGGGTCTGTGTAGGGCTAACCACATTCAATATGCGAGGAGCATTAGTCTGAAAGATGATATTAGTTTTAGTAGTTAGATAGTTATTTTGAAACTTGTAACAAAGTAAATGTATTTGAATTTTGGTGATTAAATAATAGAGAATTATTTATGAGTTTGTTTACTACCTTTTGTCAATTATTTATTCTTGTGTTTCATGTTTGCATGTTTTACTTCCTGAAACAAGCACTCTGCAGTGCGCCGGTGCTGTCACTACCAGAAGGAACAGAAGACTTTATAGTTTACTGTGATGCGTCAAATCAGGGTTTAGGCTGTGTACTCATGCAACGTGGAAAAGTGATAGCTTACGCGTCCCGGCAGCTAAAGACGCATGAGGTAAACTACACCACTCATGATCTGGAACTGGGAGCAGTGGTCTTCGCCCTGAAGATTTAGAGGCACTACCTTTATGGTACTAAGTGCACCATCTTCACCGACCACAAGAGTCTCCAGCACATTTTGAACCAAAAGGAGTTGAACATGAGGCAACGAAGATGGATTGAGCTGCTGAACGACTATGAGTGTGAAATCAAGTACCACCCAGGCAAGGCTAACGTGGTAGCTGATGCCTTGAGTCGGAAAGAATACTCGAATCGTCGTTTGAAGACTCTCTCCATAACCATTCGATCCCACCTAACCTCTCAAATCAGGGCAGCCCAGCTCGATGCCATGAAGGCAGAAAACAAAACAAGCGAAGCGTTGCGTGGAATGGAGAAGAACTTTGAAGTGAAGGAAGACGGAACAAATTACTTCATGAACCGCATTTGGGTCCCTAAACTTGAAGGATTCAGAGAAGTAGTCATGAACGAAGCCCACAAGACGCGATACTCCATCCATCCGGGTTCAGACAAAATGTACTTGGATGTTAAGCAACATTATTGGTGGCCTAACATGAAGGCAGAGATCGTCACTTACGTTAGCAAGTGTATCACATGTGCTAAAGTAAAGGTGGAATATCAGAAGCCCTCCGGATTACTACAGCAACCAGTAATCCCCGAGTGGAAATGGGAAAGGATTACCATAGATTTTGTGACCAAATTACCCAACTCGACGGATGGTTTGGATACCATATGGGTAATAGTTGATAGATTAACAAAATCCGCTCATTTCCTACCAATAAAAGAATCATACAAGATGGAGCGCCTGACAAGAATCTACATCAAAGAAATCGTGAGACTCCACGGAGTGCGCGTATCTATCATCTCGGATAGAGATAGTAGGTTTACTTCACGCTTTTGGCAATCGCTACAGAAAGCTATGGGAACACAACTTGACATGAGCACTGCCTATCACCCGCAAACGGATGGTCAAAGCGAGCGAACCATTCAAACGCTAGAAGATATGCTTCGCGCATGTGTGATAGACTTTGGAAGGTCGTGGGATATCCATTTGCCTTTGATCGAATTCTCGTATAATAACAGTTACCATTCAAGCATCAAAGTCGCTCCTTTCGAGGCATTGTACGGGCGTAAATGTAGATCACCATTGTGTTGGGCTGAGGTAGGAGACACCCAACTAGCAAGAGGGCAAATGCCATACAATGCATTAACAGGACCGGAAATCATGCGAGAGATGACCGAGAAGATAATTCAGATCAGGGCCCGACTGCAATCATCACGAGACAGACAAAAGAGCTACGCTGACAAACGGCAAAAGCCCTTGGAATTTAGAGTCGGGGATAGGGTGTTATTAAAAGTCTCTCCTTAGAAAGGGGTGATTCGTTTTGGAAAGCGGGGAAAACTAAACCCTCGATACATTGGACCCTTCGAGATTCTTGCCCGAATCGGTCCAGTGGCTTATAGACTGCAGCTACCCGCTGAGCTCAGCAGTGTACACCCCGTGTTCCACGTTTCCAATTTGAAAAAGTGCTTATCCGACGAGACTCTCGTCATTCCATTAGAAGAGATCAAAATCAAAGAGAATCTCCTGTTCATCGAGGAACCAGTCGAAATCATGGACAAAGAGGTGAAGCGTACTAAGCAGAGCCGCATTCCGATTGTGAAGGTTCGATGGAACACGAGACACGGACCAGAATTCACGTGGGAACGCGAAGATCAAATGAAGCAGAAGTACCCTCACCTATTCTCGCATTCTCAAATCTAGCTTTCAAAAGAATTTCGGGACAAAATTCCCTCTAACGGGGGGATGATGTCACAACTAGGAATTTTGATGCTTTGTAACTACAACAATTATACCAATTGTGAACCAACAATGTGAAAGCATGTATGATGCTTATTCAATAACAACAAAACTTCCATCAAACACCTCATACAAGCACTGCAATTAGTCAACAAAGAATTGGAAGCCCTAGAAATCCCGGTTTAAGTCCATTTTGGATAAGGATCTTCTTATTGGGCCTGATGGACCAATAAGCTTCCAACTTAACTATCTTGGGCTTAGAACTCCTAAATGGACTCTAATTGGACCCATATACATGAAACTTAATATTTTGGGCCTTATAAGCCTAAAATGAACTAGATTAACTTTAATGGGCCTTATTGGACCACAACAAATTTATATAGCCCTAGTAGATCATAAAAATCATTCCTTGATTTATTTTGGGCCAAAAATCATCTAATT